GCTGCGGGGAGCGGCCGAAGCGCGTGCACGGGGCGGGCTGCGGTGGCCCCGAGGCTGGTGGGGGAGGGACGTGTGTCCTAGGGGCCCCCAAAGGCAGAGATCGGGGCGGAGGGCTCGGCCGGGGACCCGTCTCCTGGTTGGAGTGGGGACCTTAGAACGCGCCGCACAGGCGCGTGATCGGTGGTCACGGCGGAAACCCTCCCGCACCTGCCCTAGGCCCTGCGGGCACCTCCCTCTCGCCTCCTGGGCTGTGTGAGTGACCAGACACCAGCACCCGGCCCAGGTCTCCTCTGGGGTTTCCTAGAACGTCCCCAAAAGGAGAGGGTTCCCCAAAGCCAGAGCGCCGGAGGGCTGCCACCTAACGAATAAAGGCGGCGGAGACCGCCCGACCGGGTCCTTAAAGGGGGGCCGGCCTCGCCATGGCTGGAGGAAGGGAGTTCGGAAGACGTGGACTTAAAAAAAAAAAGTGAGAGGAGCCCGCGTCGCCTCCATGTGATCGGGTTTCAGGGCTCAGGCTCCTGGATTGTCAATAATAAATTAAAAGAAGACTGCTAATCAGGGTCCCGCAGCTCTGGCTGGAGAAGAGTTTGTCTCCTGAGCAGCCAGGCTGCCTGGTCAGGGGCTCCTCTGCTCTCAAGAAAAAGGTCGGTTTCTCTTTCCCACTCTGGGAAGAGAGCAAAAGAGTTCCGAGCTCCATGATGCAGCCCATCGTTTGTGAATATTTAAAAAATTTTTTTTTAAAAATTTTAGTTAATACTATAGAATTTTACTCACTTATTTGTTGCCATTTTAAATTCTGTGAAGATTTATAGTTTTATTTTAAAATAAATGAATTAGTAAAAATAAATAAATTAAAATCCCATATAATAAAAGCCTAATATGCTAAGTGTCCAGTCATCTGGTCATCCATTCAACCAGTGGATAAGCTCATAAGATGTTAGTTTAGTTTTCACGTATACATGTCCCCTAATCTTTACCCTCTAGACCACTTTTCTCCTTGGAAATGTTTAGCTCAAGGCAGTGAGTGAGTCAGTTGTATAGAAGGAAAAGTCCATCTTTTTTTTTTTCTTCTTTTTCTTAAGAGAGTTATGTATATGGGATTGTTTTTGCTCGACTGAAATTCAGCTTAATTTTTTCCCCCCAATAAAATGTTCCCGTTTTCGATGATCTGGACATTCACAAAGAAACAAGTCTATTGGAATCTTTAAAAAAGAAACTTGCATTTTTAGCATGGATCGTTTTTTTAAAAAGTGGGGGGACTACGTGGGAATGATTAAACATTCGAGTGGGCTGAGTTTTACATATTTCTTCAGAGGGCTCCCCCCCGCGTGAGTGTGGCTGGTCTGGATGCGTACGGAGCCATCCGGCACTTAAATGAAAAGGAAAATCGATATTATTATATTCTCGCTACATTTGGTGTTGAGGATTTTTAAGCACGTCCTTGTAAATTCAGGCAGAAGTTCAGAGCTGACTTTTACAAGACTGATGCTGATATAAAAATCTTTAAATGCTACACAATGTATTTTTAGTATTAGTAATAAAAACTCCCATTCAGTGGTCCGGAAAGACAGGAGATACATAAATAAGGAGAAATGCTTAGTTATTTCCATGGTAGGGGGTGTTTGTTTGTTTAACCAAAATACCTTTCCCTTTGTGTATACATTTTTTAGTATCTATGTTTTCCTAAAGGACTAGGAAATCAGGAAGATGAAGCTATTGTAGACAGTGAAGTTAGACACTCATTATATAGCTTAATGTTTACGGGAGGGAAAGACTCAAAATGGAGTTTGTCTTTCAGCTTTAACTCGATCAGATGGACAAAGGAGAAGATTTTTTTTCACCCCCAATGATTACACTCTACCTACCGAAGTTTTTCAACCTCGGAAATGAAATCATGCAGCAAGACAGGGAGTGGGGTCCCTCACCCCCAATGATTACACTCTACCTACCGAAGTCAAACTTAAGTTTTTCAACCTCGGAAATGAAATCATGCTTCACCACCCCATGGACAATGCATCGCAATGTGCTGTTCCCACAGGACTCTCCCCACCCATCCGTGCTGTGGGGTTCTTCTATATATTTCCTTGCTTTGGCAGCAGGCACCCGGCGCCTCATTTTCATTTGTTACCGACTGTTTGCCTGAAAGCAGCTTTATGTGAAATTCTGCTAAGTGGACCCGACCCCTCCCACCCTCAAATGTCATCCATAAGAAGGGAAACGATGAGGCATCGCAGGACTGACGATCGACAAGTATTAGTGGAAACACAATCCATTGTATCCTATTCCCAGAAGGCAACGCTATTCAGCGGCAAAACTGAGCAAACTACAACCTCCTGCTATACGTAGCAGGAGGAGATCTTTGGAACACAGTGATAAGAAAAAAAAGAAAAGAAAACAACTTAAAAATAAATAAATAAAAAGCAAGTTCTGAAAAACTGCCCAGATGACACCATTTTGATAAAGCTCTTCAAAGCAAGGACAAGAGCCCAGCTGGTGTGGCTCAGTGGTTGAGCGCCAACCTATGAACCAGGAGGTCACGGTTAGATTCCCTGTCAGGGCACATGCCCCGGGGGGCGGGCTGGATCCCCAGTAGGGGGCGTGCAGGAGGCAGCTGATCCATGATTCTCTCTCATCATGGATGTTTCTCTCTCTCTTCCTCTCTGAAATCAATAAAAAAAACACACAAGTTTTTTAAAAAGCAAGGACAACAGCCCTAGCTGGTTTGGCTCAGTGGATAGAGCATTGACCTGCGGACTGAAGGGCCCCAGGTTCAATTCCAGCCAAGGGCACATGCCTGGGTTGCGGGCTCGATCCCCAGTGTGGGGCGTGCTGATCCATGATTCTCTCTCATCATGAATGTTTCTCTCTCTCCCTCTCCCTTCCTCTCTGAAATCAATTAAAAAAATATATTTAAAAAAAAGCAAGGACAACATAGGTAGCAAATATTTTAAAGCAAAAGAATGACATGCATGGTCAGATATATGTGGGATTGTTGTGTTTAGCAGGAGGGTTCATAACGAACACAAAATCCAGGACCCTGGTCACCTCTGGCAGGGACTGGGGAGAAGCCCACAGGCAATGGAATATTCTTAGAAATATGTACATTCCCAGACCGGGCGGTGCGTTTCCCCTTTCCATGCTCTCGTTATGCTCCATAACCCACACACGTGTTACACACATCTCTGTATGTCGAATCTATGAAAGAAGATCATAAAAAAATACATGCGGGGGAAAGCCACGGCCACGATCATCCCGGTTTTCCCACGTGACCCCGCCAGGTTCCAAGCTCTCCGTGGACGCGGCTCCAAAGAACCACGCAAGTGAGAGCGGGAAGGTCTCATCCTTCCGGAGACCCTTCAGACAGCGGTGAACGGGGCGCTCACATCCCGTCA